GTTTTTGTCAGGGTTTTCAAAGATCAGATGGTTGTAGATATGTAGTCTTATTTCTGAGTTCTCTCTTGTATTCCACTGGTCTATATGTATGTTTTTATAACAGTACCAGGCAGCTTTGGTTACTACAGCTTTGTAGTATAGTTTGAAGTTGTATACCATGATGCCTCCAGCCTTGTTCTTTTTGCTTAGAATTCTCTTGGCTAGGCTAGGTGCCGTGGCTCATGCCTGTAATCCCAGCATTTTGGGAGGCCAAGGCAGGTGGATCGCTTGAGGTCAGGAGTTCGAGAGAAGCCTGGCCAACATGGTGAAACCTTGCCTCTACTAAAAATACAAAAAATTAGCCGGGCATGGTGGCATATTCCTGTAATCCCAGCTACTTGGGAGGCTGAGGCAGGAGCATTGCTTGAACCCGGGAGGCAGAGGTTGCAGTGAGCTGAGATCATGCCACTGCACTCCTGCCTGGGTGACAGAGTGAGACTCTGTCTCAAAAAAAAAAAAAAGAAAAGAAAAGAATTATCTTGGCTATATGGGGTCTTTTGGGTTTTCATATGAGTTAAAATTTTTTTTTTTTTCTAATTCTGTGAAGAATGTCAGTGGTAGTTTAGTCAGAATAGCATGGAATCTATAAATTACTTCGAGCAGTATGGGCATTTTTACAATATTGATTCTTTCTGTCCTTTTTATTTGTTTGTGTCCTCTCTGATTTTCTTACGCAGTGGTTTGTAGTTCTCCTTGAAGAGGTCCTTCACTTCCCTTGTTAGATTTATTCTTTGGTACTTTGTTATCTTTGTAGCAATTGTGAATGGGAGTTTATTCATGATTTGGTTCTCTGCTTGTTTATTGTTGGTGTATTGAAATGCTTGTGATTTTCGCACATTAATTTTGTATCCTGAGACTTTGCTGAAGTTGCCTATGAGATGAAGAAGCTTTTGGGCTGAGACATTGGGGCTTTCTAGATCTAGGATCATGTCGTCTACAGACAGACAGTTTGACTTCCTGTTTGCATATCACTTATTTATTTCTCTTGCCTGATTTCTCTGGTCAGAAATTGCAATACTATGTTAAATAAGAGTGGTGGGAGAGGGCATCATTTTCTAGTGCCAGTTTTCAAGGGGAATGCTTCCAGCTTTTGCCCTTTGGTATTGGCTATGGGTTTGTCATAGATAGCTCTTATTATTTTGATATATGTTTCGTGAATACCTTGTTTATTGAGAGTTTTTAACATGTTGGGATGTTAAATTTGATCGAAGGCCTTTTCTGCATTTTTGAGATAATCATGTAGTTTTTGTCTTTAGATCTGTTTATGTGATGAATTACATCGATTTTTGTATGTTGAACCAGCCTTCCATCCTGGAAATAAAGCTGACTTGAATTACATCAATTTTTGTATGTTGAACCAGCCTTGTATTCCAGGAATAAAGCTTTTTAACGTGCTGCTGGATTCACTTTGCCAGTATTTTATTGAGAATTTTTGCATTGATGTTTATCAGGAATATTGGCTTGAAGGTTTTTGTGTGTATGTGTGTGTGTGTTGTTGTTGTTTTATTTTGTTATATCTCTGCCATGCTGGCCTCATAGAATGAGTTAAGGAGAGACCCCTCCTTTTCCATCATTTGGAATAGTTTCAGAAGAAATGGTACCAGATCCTCTTTGTGCCTCTGGTAGAATTCAGCTATAAATTTATCTGCTCCTGGACTTTTTCGGTTGGTAGGCTATTTGTTACCGCCTCAATTTCAGAACTTGTTACTGGTCTATGCAGGGATTCAACTTCTTCTGGTTCAGTCTTGAAAGGATAGATGTGTCCAGGAATTTTTCCATTTCTTCTTGATTTTCCAGTTTATGTGCACAGAAGTGTTTATAGTATTTTCTGAACATTGTTTTTATTTCTGTGGGGTCAGTGATGAGATCCCCTTTATCACTTTTATTGTCTATTACATTCTTCTCTCTTTTTTTCTTTATTAGTCTAGCTAGCAGTCTATTTTATTAATTTTGTCCAAAAAAAAAAAAAAAAAAAAAAACCAGCTCCTGGATTCATTGAGTTTTTTGAAGGGTTTTTTGGGTCTCAGTGTCATTCACTTCCAGTCTGAATCTGGTTATTTCTTGTCTTCTGCTAGCTTTAAGTTTTGTTTGCTCTTGGTTTTCTCATTCTTTTAGTTACGATGTTAGGGTGTCCATTTAAGATCTAGCTTTTTGATGTGAGTATTTAGTGCTATAAATTTCCCTCTTACACTGCTTTAGCTGTGTTCTAGAAATTCTGGTACATTGTCTCTTCATTCTCATTGTTTTCAAATACTTTCTTGATTTCTGATTTAGTTGTATTATTTATCCAGAAATAAAGAGGAGCAAGTTGTTCATTCAGGAAATTCATTCAGGAGTAGGTTGTTCAGTTGTGATGTAGCTGTGTGGTTTTGAGTAGCTGGGATTACAGGCGCCCGCCACCACACCCAGCTAATTTTTTGTATTTTTAGTAGAGATGGAGTTTCACTATGTTGGCCAGGCTGGTCCCAAACTGTGTCGTGACTCTTTATCCAGCTTGCCCTTCTGTGTCTTTGAATTGAAATATTCAGCGTATTGCATTTAAGGTTAATATTGTTATGTGTGATTTTGATTCTGTCCAAGTGGTGCTAACTGCTTATTTTGCAGAGTTGTTGATGTAGTTGTTTTATAGCGTAGTTGATCTTTGTACTTCATTGTGATTTTGCAATGACTGGTAATGGTTTTTTCTCCTTAACCTTTCAGGAGCTCTAGCAAGGCAGGCCTGGTAGTGATGTGTTCCCTTAGCATTTGCTTGTCTCAAAAGAATTTTATTTTTCTCCACTTATGAAGACTTACTACTGTTATTTTATTGTTTTATTTGCTTCTTGTATCTTTGTTCCTCATTTTCTCTTTTTCTGTCTTTGTGTCTTTGTTATACTTGTCTTGATATGCTTTTATTTCTTTCCCATTTGTTTTATGTATCTATGCAAATATATTCTTGGGGTTACCTTGGGGATTATATAAAACCTCTAAAAGATACAACAATGTATTTTAATCTGGTAAAAAATGAACTTCAGGCCGGGTGTGGTGGCTCACACATATATTCCCAGCACTTTGGGAGGTTGAGGCGGGTGGATCACAAGGTCAAGGGATCGAGACCATCCTGGCCAACAAGATGAAGCCCCATCTCTACTAAAAATACAAAAATTAGCTGGGCATGGTGGTGCACACCTGTAGTCCCAGCTACTTGGGAGGCTGAGGCAGGAGAATCACTTGAACTCAGGAGGTGGAGGTTGCTGTGAGCTAAGATTGCACCACTGCACTCCAGCCTGGTGACAGAGTGAGACTCCATATCAAAAGAAAAAAAAAAAAAGAACTTAAGTTGCATTGAAAATTTTTTTTCTCATTATATCTGCCTTCAAATTTGTCATTGATGTTGCCAATTATATATTTTATGTTGTATATTCACTAACAAATGTTTATAATGATTTCTATGCTTTTACCTTTCAAATTTTAGAGAATAATTAATATTTTTGCACTATTATTATAATGCTAAGAACTTCCATTTTTGTGTATGTGCATTTTTTTCCCAGAGAATAATGTATTTTATATGATGTTGTGTTGTTTTGTTGAATCATGTTATTTTCAGTAGCAGCAACGGTTATCAGCACCTTTTATATGTAAGGCATATGAAGAGCCAATATACTTTTTCAGTATTTGGTTATTTTTGAAGGTTTTTTTCTTTTTACTTGGCAGGACAGATATGCTGATGGTATTATTCTAACTTGATAGCTACTTTTTTCAGGACTTTGACTATATCACACAGTTTCCTTCTGGCCTGCAAAGTTTTTTTGACAGTTTACCAGCTATCTCATAAGACTATACTTGTAAATGACATGTCGTTTTTATCTTGCAGCTCCATTCTCTTCTTCGAAATTGTGCTTATATATGCGTTTGTTATAAATATCTTTGTGTGTATCCTAGTGTGTTTGTTGAGCTTCTTCATTTTGATATTATTTTTTCTTTCCAAATTTTTTATATTTTCCTTTATAATTTCTGTTTTTTGGGGTATTTTAAATATTTTTGTTCTTATCCTCATTTTTTTCTGATTTTCTGTAGTTCTGTGTTCCTATTTTACTCATTGAGTATTCAATTTATTTTCAATTTTAAAAATTAATATATACATCTTTTTATGGTTTCTTTCTGAAAATCTTATAATTTTGATGGAAGGATTTTGCCCTATTTTGTATTCATTGTAATCTTTGATTAATATTTGAACATTAAATAAAGCTACCTGTCACATTGTTTATAATGTAGCTTTGTCCTGGCGTAGTCTGAAAACAATTATCTTGGTTTGAGGTCCTCTGAGACTGTCAAACATGTTCTTAGAGTGTGTCTTGTCTAAATTTTTGTGTTTATTTTTTAGTTAAAGGAGTTTATTTCTGTTTCATCTTCATCAGCAATCATTTGCTATATCTGTTCCCTGTCGGTGGTACTGCAGTCTTTCTGCTGCTGTAACATTTACCTTTGGTCTCAGCAGACCCAAACTGTAATTCCAAAATATACCACCATTTCTTTCAGCACTTTATGTTATGGGAGACCAGTTTCTGGAAAGGCCCCTAGAAGCAAGTAATATAGATGTATGTGCCAGTATTTTACTTGTTTATTAAAAAAGAAATGAAAAGTTAGCTTCTACTTAGAAAGGCACTATGTAATATTGTTGAGTAGGAAGAACTGTGTTGGCTAAATGCCACAGACTTTTCTTTTTCTTCTGTGTCTTTGCATTCCCGTGTACTCACCTGTGTACTCACCTGGGGAAATTTACACACTTATTTTAAGTTGTCCTCAAATGTATTTTGGTCAGTATGTTTTTATTACATTTATATGTCTATGAAGGATTTAGGGCCTGTGGTATTTTATTATGGCATCTTGCTTATGTAGTTTGTATAATATAGGTTAGATTTGTAAAGTATGTTTATCAGAGTCTAGTAAGTTGAATAATTTGTTGTTTTTATTTCTTTCAGCTATGTGTTCTTATTTTACCAAAGACCTTTGGCCAGAGCAAGACATAAAAGATTCTTTTCAACAAGTGATACTGAGAAGATATGGAAAATGTGAACATGAGAATTTACAGTTAAGAAAAGGCTCCACAAGTGTAGATGAGTATAAGGTGCACAAAGAAGGTTATAATGAACTAAACCAGTGTTTGACAACTACCCAGAGCGCAATATTTCCATTTGATAAATATGTGAAAGTCTTTCATAAATTTTTAAATGCAAATAGACATAAGACAAGACATACTGGAAAGAAACCTTTCAAATGTAAAAAATGTGGCAAATCATTTTGCATGCTTTTACACCTAAGTCAACATAAAAGAATTCATATTAGAGAGAATTCTTACCAATGTGAGGAATGTGGCAAATCCTTTAAATGGTTCTCAACCCTTACTAGACACAAGAGAATTCATACTGGAGAGAAACCCTTCAAATGTGAAGAATGTGGCAAAGCTTTTAAGCAGTCCTCAACCCTTACTACACATAAGATAATTCATACTGGAGAGAAACCCTACAAATGTGAAGAATGTGGCAAAGCCTTCAACCGGTCCTCACACCTTACTACACATAAGATAATTCATACTGGAGAGAAACCCTACAAATGTGAAGAATGTGGCAAAGCTTTTAACCAGTCTTCAACCCTTACTACACATAAGTTCATTCATGCTGGAGAGAAACCCTACAAATGTGAAGAATGTGACAAAGCTTTTAACCGATTCTCATACCTTACTAAACATAAGATAATTCATACTGGAGAAAAATCTTACAAATGTGAAGAATGTGGCAAAGGCTTTAATTGGTCCTCAACCCTTACTAAACACAAAAGAATTCATACTGGAGAGAAACCTTACAAATGTGAAGTGTGTGGCAAAGCCTTTAATGAGTCCTCAAACCTTACTACACATAAGATGATTCATACTGGAGAGAAACCCTACAAATGTGAAGAATGTGGCAAAGCCTTTAACCGGTCCCCACAACTTACTGCACATAAGATAATTCATACTGGAGAGAAACCTTACAAATGTGAAGAATGTGGCAAAGCTTTTAGCCAATCATCAATCCTTACTACACATAAGAGAATTCACACTGGAGAGAAACCCTACAAATGTGAAGAATGTGGCAAAGCTTTTAACCGATCCTCAAATCTTACTAAACATAAGATAATTCATACAGGAGAGAAATCTTACAAATGTGAAGAATGTGGTAAAGCCTTTAACCAATCCTCAACTCTTACTAAACATAGGAAAATTCATACTAGAAAGAAACCCTACAACTGTGAAGAATGTGGCAATGCATTTAACCAGTCCTCAAACCTTATTAAACAAAATAATTCTTACTGGAGAGAAACTCTACAAATGTGAAGAATGTGGGAAAGCCTTTAAGCAGTCCTCAACTCTTACTAAGCATTAAAAATTGGCCGGTACAGTGGCTCATGCCTGTAATCCCAGCATTTTGGGAGGCTGAGGCAGGCGGATCACAAGGTCAAGAGATCGAGACCATCCTGGCCAACATGGTGAAACCCTGTCTCTACTAAAAATACAAAAATTATCTGGGTGTGGTGGCGCGTGTCTGTATTCACATCTACTTGGGAGGCTGAGGCAGGAGAATCACTTGAACCTGGGAGGCGGAGGTTGCAGTGAGCCAAGATTGCACCACTGCACTCCAGTTTGACAACAGAGTAAGACTTCGTCTCAAAAAAAATTTATACTCTACAGAAACCCCACAAGTGTGAAAAACATGGCAAAGCCTTTAAGAAGCCCTCAATTCTTAACAGACATAAGATAATTATACTGGAGAGAAACTCTACAAATCAGAAAGATGTGACTACTTTTGACAATGCTTCAAACTTTTCTAACCATAAAAATAATTATACTGGTGAGAAATCCTAGAAATCTGAAGAGTGAGACAAAGCCTTTAAATGGTTGTTACACTTGATTGTAGGTAAGATAATTCATACTGGAGAAAATGCCTACATGTGTGAACAATGTGGCAAAACTTTTAACCATTGCTCACACTTTATTGCCAGGAAAGCATTTATACTTGAGATAAATTATACAAATGTAAAGACTATGAAAAAACCATTAATAGCTGCTCACATTTTACTCAACACCAGAGAGTTCATGCTTAATAAAAGCATTATAAGTGCAATTACTGTCAAAAGATCTTTCAGAAAATTTAAGCTTTTATAGTGAAGAGTATTTATTTTGAAGTTGAACATTACAAATATAAAGAGGATTGTAGTGCCTTGTATCACAGATCTTATTGTAGACATTTTCTTCTAGAGGAAAACTCTGAAGCAGTTGATCAAACTTTGTTCAACATCAGGGAATTTATATTGAAAAATTGTGCAAGTATAATAAATTTGGAAAAAATTTTTCAAAAACTACAGCTTGGAAATCAATAGAGTTATACTAGAACATATTTTTCCAGATGCAATAAAAGTAAAATATTTAATCCATAATTAAGTCTATGGAAATATCAGAGAATTTGTGGTAGAAATATATAAGGTACTGACACTTCAGGTATACTAAATCAGAGTGCTGAGTATAGAAAATCTAAAACTAAAGTTGGTAGAAAAATTATTTGTATAGAACTTTAAGAGGATCAGAAGGTTTTTTGCAGTTATAACTACATTCAAAGTATACTTTTATTTCTTGAAAAATATTCACAGAGTTTTTGAAAAGTGAATAATGTCATCATTCAACTCTGAAATTATTTCCTGCTGTGTCTTCATTCCTGTTGGATTACATGTGAAAGCATGGGATTAATTGTTACTGCATCAAAGATAAGAGAGATTCTTTTGTCTGTTTGTTTGTTTTTTGAGACTGAGTTTCACTCTTTCACCCAGGCTAGAGTGCATTGGCACGATCTCGGCTCACTACAACCTCTGCCTTCTGGTTTCAAGCGACTCTCCTGCCTCAGCATCCCGAGTAGCTGGGTTAACAGGTACCCACCACCAAGCCCGGCTAATTTTTGTATTTTTAGTAGAGATGGGGTTTCACCGTGTTGGCCAAGCTGGTCTTGAACTCCTGACCTCAGGTGATCCACCCACCTTGGCCTCCCAAAGTGCTGGGATTATAGGCTTGAGCCACCATGCCCAGCCTATGGCATATTTTAATAGAGGAATACAACATATAATAACAACAGGGTTAAGTGAGGCATCCATCATCTGTAGCATTTCTCCTTTGTTTTACAAACAATCCAATTCTACACTTTTTTAAAATTGTAAAATGTATGATTAAATTTTTATTTACCACAGGGTTATTTTTATGGTCATAATAAAAATTATAAAGTATAAATTAAATTCATTTCTAAATTCTTAATAAATATTTTCTCATGCCAGATGTGGTGGCTCACGTCTGTAATCCCAGCACTTTGACAGGCTGAGCGAGGGGGTGGATCTCGAGGTCAGGAGTTCGAGACCAGCCTGACCAATATGGAGAAACCCCATTCTAAAAATATAAAAATTAGCCAGGCGTGGTGGCATGTGCCTGTAATCCCAGCTACTCAAGAGGTTGAGGCAGGAGAATCACTTGAACCTGGGAGGTGGAGGTTGCAATGAGCCAAGATCACCCTACTACACTCTAGCCTGGGTAACAGAGCGAGGCTCTATCTCAAAAAATAAATATTTTTTCAAATTTTCTATATATTTTTCTTTGAACATGTGGCCTGTCTGCCTGCCAACGTATACAGACTTTTAGTTTTGATTCTCATAGAGTTAAATGCATATTAGTCTAAAGACAAACCTTAGGTGTAAGAAAATTAGGGAATTAAGTGCGTGTGTGTGCATATGAGTTTGTACATATTTTCAGAAGAAAACCATGTGGGAACAAAAATCATTTTAATATGGTGACTACTATAAAACTAAAAACCTAAATGCTCAAAGGAAATATATACTTTTTAGTTTGTATTGAATTTATTACTGTACTGTCTATGACTTACAGTTCTGAATCTTCCCAAATTCTCTGTATATACTTGCCTGATACTCATGCTAGACCCATTTTTTTTTTGTTTCTTCCATTTTTTTGTTTTATATTTTATGAAGTATTCATTATGTGAGCTGGTCTGCGATTATAAGAGTTTTTATGAAATTTAGTGCACACAAAATAATTTTTAGATGTAATTCCAAAAGTAGTATATTACGTTACATTTTATTTAATTAGAACACTCCATTTTGTTCTTTTAAGAGGAGAACAATATATAGATTTTCTTTTAGTGCTTGTTCCTTTTACTTTTTATAATTGACATAAGTATATTTATTGAGTCAATTTGTTCAGCTAAGTACTAGGGAGGCTTCATAAGTCATGAGGATGTTTTTATATATAAAGGTAGCAAACATATTACAGTTGTTGCTATGTAATAGATTATCCATAATCATAAATATTCCTGCTGAAGCTAGTTTATAACTTCAAGTCAAAGATGAAAAATATCAATGGTGAAGATTGATTCTTCATATGGAGAGGACATTTTTTTCCATGTAAAACTGAATCTTGCTGAATTTAAAGAGAAATTCTGGCTGAGGCAGATGAATCACCTGAGGTCAGGAGTTTGAGACCAGCCTGATGAATATGGTGAAACCCAGTCTTTACTAACACTGCAAAAATAGCCAGACGTAGTGGTGGGTACCTGTAATTCCAGCTACTCAGGAGGCTGAGGCAGGAGAATTGCTTGAACCCGGGAGGTGAAGATTAGACTAAGCTGAGATTGTGCCATTGCACTACAGCCTGGGCAACAGAGCGAGACTCTGTATCAAAAAAAAAAAAAAAAAGGCCAGGTATGGTGGCTCACACCTGCAATCCCAGCACTTTGGGAGGCCAAGGTGGGTGAATCACTTGAGGTCGAGAGTTTGAGACCAGCCTGACCAACATGGTGAAACCCTGTGTCTGCTAAAAATACAAATTTAGCCACGTGTGGTGACGCATGCCTGTGATCCCAGCTACTCGGAAGGCTGAGGCAGCAGAATCGCTTGAACCTGGGAGCTTGAGGTTGTGGTGAGCCAAGATCGGGCCACTGCATTTCAGCCTGGGCAACAAGAGCGAAACTCTCAGAAAAATAAATAAATACATAAAAATAAAAGGCACAATACTGTCCACAGGTAAGAGGATTGAATTTGTTAGCTTTGTTTTTAAAAGAAAAATCTTACTAAATTCTTACACAAAGTGTGGCAAATATAAAACCTGCTTGAAAATATAGAAATGAAATTTTTAAGAGTTAATGGTAAGTAAACAATTTTAAATTTAGTTTTCTATGATATACTTAACAGCACAACTTACATTTCCATGCAGAATCTTTTATTTTTAAGTGTGAGTGTTAAAAGTTACAAAATAATGAAATGACTTCTGTGGATTTAAAATTTAGAAAAATAATATCTTTTCCATATTGATTTTACAATTTGGAGAAATTTTTCACTCTTTTTTTTTATATTTTTGTTAGTGGGAGAAGTTTAGTCTACAGTTTTTATTTTTAGTCACCAAACTGTAGCCAACTCTTGGGTCATTTTCTCTGAAAAAGATTTGGAGATCATGACAGCTTTTGGATTAAAACATGTCTGTTATTTTGCATGAAAACTAGTTTAATGTGTTCACAGAGTGGCCAGTAATGGGAGCATAAGCAACACCTGCTCTTTGAGTGTCTTTCATACCATTACAACATCAGCACCAGAAACTCCAGGTACCCCAAGCTTAAAGTAAAAATCCTAAAGTGTGTTGGCTGCTCTCATGCAATGTGCTGGGTCCAAACCATGCTATTAAATATCAGAAGTTTCTATGGTTATGATTAAAAAATTAAATAACAATATAGCCCCAAAACTATATATTTTTGATACCATTTAGCCAAGATTATCACAAAGACATACAGTATTTGACACACTGTTATTCTTCTATAATGTTTTATAAATATTTTAATGTGACAGATAAAATCTGTACTTTTTATGTAGAACATAATATTTTGAAGTATATATACATTGTTAAATTATTATTTCTAATAATTTATCTCACATTGGCCGGGTGTGGTGGCTCGTGCTTGTAATCCCAGCAATTTGGGAGGCCGAAGCAGGCAGATCACCTGAGGTCAGGAGTTTGGGACCAGCCTGGTGACCATCGGGAAACCCCCTCTCTACTAAAAATACAAAATAAGCAGCGTGTGGTGATGCATGCCTGTAATCCAGCTACCCGGGAGGCTTGAGGCAGGAAAATTGCTCAAATCTAGGAGGTGGTGGTTGCAGTGAGCTGAGATCACTCCACTGCACTCCAGACTGGGGGACAGAGTGAGACTTCATGTGAAAAAAAAAAAAAAAAGCAAAACAAAAAAAACTTTACCTCATATAGTTAACATTTTTGTGGTGAGACCACATGACACTGTCATCATTTTTCAAAAATCCAAATACCTTATTATGAACTATAGTCACCATGTTGTACAATAAATCTCTTGAACTTGTTTCTTCCATTCGACTATAATTGTGTATTATTTCACAAACATGTTTCCATCCCTCCATTTCTTGTAAATAACTTGACATCTGATGGT